CTGTGGTCTTCCTTCATGCTCAAGGCTCTCTTTTAAGCCCATCTGGTTGTTGGGAGTATTCAGTTCCTTGTGGCTGCAGGACTGAGGCCCTCAGCTCCCAGAGGCCACCCACAGCTCCCTGCCACATGGCCCTCTCTGAAAGTGCTCTCACAGCATGCGACCTGCTTCTTTAAGCCAGCAAGGGAGAGAAGTCTCTAACGGTAGTAAGGGCCCAGCCCTCCTTTTTAAGACTTTTACCTGATTAAGTCAGGCCCATCCAAGATAATCTTTCTTTTGATGGAATAAAAATCAATTGATTTGGTCAAATCCCTTCACTTTGGCCATAATCCATTAGCTAGAAGCAAGTCACGGGTCCTGCCTGTACTGAATAGGAAACTATATAAAGGCATGAACAATAACAAAGAAGAAAGTAAGACCCGGTATTCTATCCTATTGCTAATTCACAGCAGGAGTTGGCAAACTTTTTCTGTAAAGGGTCAGATGGTAAATAGACTTTAAAGCAAATGGCCTTCAGGAAAGTTGCCGCAGACAGTATGTAAGTGAATGGGTGTGGCTGTGTTCCACTAATGCTATTTACAAAAACAAGTGTCAAGTCACATTTGGTCAGTTGACTGGTGTCTGCCGACACCTGACATTCTGATACACTTTCCTCTTTTTAAAAATACGCACACACACACACACAGACACACACACACACAGTGTCACAGTGCTATGATACTGTTGAATAATCTGCTGAGTTGGGATCATGTCTTATGGGCACTATAAAAAATAATGGTCTGAAAATCTGTTCATGTATCTCTTGTAAAGTCACCTTGAGGACATTACTCTTTACATGTCTCAATAATTCCCTCCATGAAACTCCATGTGAAGGATTTTCTTTGGAATTTAGTGGCAACAGAAGTTTTGCTTCTCCTGACCGAGTTTTTTTTTTCTATTACAAAAATCATACAATTTGCTATATTTCCCTTTTTGTTTTGGCTTCCAGGAAGCTCAGAGTCTAACTTGAAACCCAATTATTAAAACCCTAAAGACCTGAAAGATTGCATACTGGGCTTATCTGCCCAGGCATTGATAATTTACCCTTATTTTAATTTTCTGTGTTTTTCTGTTTTACGATTATTTCATCATGTAAGCTTCTTTGTAAAATAACATTGAATTGAAAATACGAATTTCTCGTCCTTGGATTCAAAGGAACTACTGAGTTTATATTAATAATAGCTCCAAATTAGAAACAGCCCAAATATCCATCAAGAGGAGAGTTAATAAATTGTGGGATCATCATATGATGAAATTTTATGCAACAACAAAAAAGACCAAGCCATTGACACATGCTGCAGCATGGAAGGACTTCTCAGACATCGTGCTGAGAGGAGGAAGCCAGACACAAAAGAGCACATACTGTGTGATTCCATTTATACCAAGTCCAAGAAGAAGCAATATGATTCAAAGGTGATGGAGGTCAGAAGGTGATTGCCATGGGCAGGGGCGATTCCCTGGGCAGTGGCAAGAAGAAACCTTATGGGATGCTGGAAATATTCTAGATTTTGGACTGAGCTGTCACTGAGTGCCTAGACAGGTAGAAAGTCATCGAGGGGTAGGTTTGGGATTAGTGTACTTCATTCACTTCACTGTGTGTGTATCCAAACTCCCTCCAACAGAGAACTGCTAATAATATAGCTTCTCACTTATTTCTCTTCCATGTTTATGCCCAGATGTCTGTTGGAAAACAGCTTCAAAGTTGATGACTTCAGAAGTCCATAACTTTTTTATTTTTAAAAGTTCATAGGTTAGCAGAAATTGTGTGCTTTTATTACATCATCTGTCTTAAATGCATAGCTAAAAAATAGGTAAAGATAGCTTCTCAGCCATGAAGGCAAGTCACTGTCTGTGAATGTACAGTTGGTCCTCCCCATAAAGTGGCTGAGAGGGTGGATGGAGGCTGGAATCCGGCCTTGAAGCTGTTTGCCAAGGTCAGTACCTGAGGGCAGGGTCTGCCTACATTGCCTTGCCCCATTTTGCAAAAAAAAATTTTTATTGAGGTGTAGTTGATTTATAATGTTATTTCCAGGTGTACAGCAAAGTGATTCAGTTATACATATACCTTCACATGTATATATTCAGATTCTTGTCCATTTATGTTATTACAAGAAAGTGAATGTAGTTCCCTGTGCTACACAGTAAGTCCTTGTTGTGTATCTATTTTATATAGAGTAATGTGTGTCTGTTAATACCCAACCCCTAATTTATCCCTCTTGGCCCTTCCCCCTTTGGTAACCATAGTTTGTTTTCTGTGTCTGTGAGTCTGCTTTTAGTTTGTAAATAGAATTTGTATCTTTTTTTTTTTTTTTTTAGTTTCCACCTATAAGTGATACCACGTGATACTTGTCTTGGTCTGAATTATTTCACTCAATATGATAATCTCTGGGTCCATCCATGTTGCTGCAAATAGTGGCCCCTTTTCTAATTTGTACAAATATAATTTTTCTAATTTGCACTTGGCACTGGTCAGTTGCAGCTCTACACAAAGATAATTCTTATGGTGTAATGTTAGTTTTTAGGATTGAACGTGTATTTGATGATCTTGAGAATAAAAGCCCATTTCTGCCTGGGTCTTTGCAACCTAAGGAATGTTTTATAAAATAGAATGGGAAGAATCGATATCAATTCCCTCTCCTTACTTTTCACGTGTACCTTCTACTTAAGGATGTTAAGAATACAACCTCTAGTTGGCTTAATGGGACAGAGCCATATAGAGTTTGAGGCTTTGAGGGAGAATGAGTTTTTGCTGACTTAAGAGACCCATACTTTTAGCCAATCTTAGAAAGATCAAACTCATCTTGACTTTTAAAGAGGTCAGCGTGGCCACTAGTTAGAGAAAAACATGTGAGCAGAAGATGGCAAGGAGCATCTAATCACATTTACCCCAGCTGAAACACCAATGTCCAGGAAAGAACTCAACAACAAAAACCAAAAGCAGATTGAGATCTAAAAAGACACTTAGCATTTTTAAATGCTAAGATATACATTTCAGGTTACATAATCAACCACGCATATAGATACCATCAAGACTCTTCCCCAGCTAAACTAAAGCAAAATGATAATGAAACATTAATAGATACAGAACAGATGCTCAAGTAGTTATAATGTAACTTTTCTCATTTGATATGAGATAAACTAAAATTATACGTGTGAAGTTTCCTCCATCACAGTAAAAGAAATAGTAATAGTGAAAAACATCCCAAACTACACATGTCAGTAAGTCCAATTAATGACTGCTCGTACGACTTCAGTGTTTGGTTAAAAAAAACTCTGGACACTTTGGGTATATTTAGGTAAAATCTGCATTTAAACCTGTATATAATTTTCTAGACGAATCGCTGTTATTGCTTGTGATTCGAGGAAGCTGACTTTGTAGCGCTGTTACCTCAGCCCTTTGGGAATAAAGGAGAAAGAAATTCTCTGCTAAAAATTCCAATTGTTAGGATGACTTCCTTCTCCAAAACAATCTGAACGTGCTTCCACTTACTGAGAAACTATTCGCTTTTCGCTTCTTGAACACCCCCACGGGTTTGCTGAGGAACTCGGTCAAGTTTCTTTCGGTTGAAAGTAACAGAGACCCACTTCAAATCAATGTCAGCAGAAGAAGGGATGTACTGACTGGAACTGGCTCCCAGTTCCAGGTTTCAGGGAGAGACGCAGCTTGGGCCAGATGTCCAGCCCTGAGCCCATCAGCTGTGGCTGAGCAGCAGAGTCACACAGCCCTGACGTGGTCATGGAGTCCACTCGTGGGAGGGATAATTCTTAGGGCAGAGACAGGCTGGTGCGGGGAAGATATCCTCAGACTTGTTCACTCTAGTTGTCAAGAGTTGTCCATGCACTGAAGTCACCCTCCCCACTCACAGCAAGTATAAAGCCAGCCAGTGTCTCTGCTGGTCTAGTGCTCCTTGAAGTGACACTGGGCACAGCTCCTGATGGTGCTGGGGCTTCCAGATTTCCTCTCTGTTTCTTCACTGCGGGAACTCCAGGCTCAGGCTCAGGCATGGTGAGGTCATTGGGCAGGAAGTCTCTGGGCCGCTGGGTAGCCAATCCCTGGCTGAAACCCCTTGTGATTTTTGAAAGCATTTGTTTTTCATTGCCTATGTGGCTATCTTTATCTGAAAATAACTTTCCTTCCTTAAACTTTAAATCTTGCAAAGAGTGGTGAGATTTTGTGTTTATATCTGAATTCAATCTTCTTTGTGGGCTGGGAATTTTTAAAAAATGTTTTAAATTGAATGGGGGAATAACAGGGGGTGTTGAAAGCAGCCTCAGTGTGTTTAGACTGACGGGCTTGGTGCTTCTGGGAATTTTAAGCTCACACTTTTCATTTCTAAGAAAACTTGATCCTTGACAGTGACGTGGATGAGGGCTCCTTCCCCCTCCCCCCAAAATACCCATGATTTTGGTTTATTTTGTTGAACTCATAAAAGAACTCCTAGGACAAGACTGCTTTGATGTGTAGCATTTAGAGGGCTTCTAAACTCTTGATTCCTACTTTCAGGGCTTAAAAAGGACTTTGGATTTTGACAGCACAAACCCTCTGGTAGTGGCCTACCCTGACTCTGGGCTTAGTGACAGAATTTTAGCCAATGGGACAAAACAGATGACACAAGCAGAGGCTTGAAGAAGCACTTGTGTACTTCTTTTTCCTTTCTCAGACCCTGTTAAATGTTGAGGGTAGTTTGTTACACAGCAATAGCTAACTGATGTAGCTAACAGATGTTTTTATGTAAGTGAAATCAAGTTCAAATGATCATTCATTAAGAGCATCCAAAAGGCTGAGCTATGGGAGGGACATGTGAGAAGTGGAGGGGGTAAAAACCCTTCCCCTGGGGTTGTTTTGGTCTCAAGGATATTGGGTATTGATATGATGATGGATTTATATGTGTATAAATCTCAGAGGAATTTTTTTTTAATGTTTGAAATAAACTCTTGGTCCCTTATCTTTGTCACTTCCTTAGGTCCCTGGGAATTGGGAGACCTGGAAGAGATTAGTATATATTTCTCCAGCAATGACATAATCTGTGAGATCCTGGAGCAAGATTCTGCTGTTGGAAGGAATTTCCTGATGAGAGTGAGGGAGCACAGTAAGTTTCCTTGAATCAAAGGTGAATTTTTATTCATTAAAATGTTGAGCTTCTCTTAAGGTGTTTGTGTGGGGTTGACATCACAGGCAAAGGGTTGTTTAATCTGTTTTGAAAACTTGTCTTGATGTGAAGGGGAGTAATTTTAAAAATTAGTGTTAACCCATCACCTCATTCTTTTCAGAGTGACCTAATGTTATTTTCTTATTAAGGGAATTGAATGAACTGTAGCAACACATGTGGATTTGGGAGTGGGGCTGGGGAAGTGCGTGGAGACTTTTGCTGAACATTTTTACCATTTCCTAAATGAAATGACTGAATCAGTAAGCAATTTTGCTGGGAGAAAAATTGAACCTCTTAGGAGTATCTTGAGAATATCTAAAGAGGATATGTACTTCTTTGAGGGATATAAGAAGACTGAATAGAATAAACATCAAAGAACAAACACAAATATAGCTGCGATCATGGTGTTACTATGTAACTAGATGTGCCAAACTATACACCTGGAAGGAAAATAAATGGAGAAATAAGCTCAGGCTAACATTGATTTTGTTCCTGTGATAGTTTCAATGCCACTTCTTATGTCTTATATTCTGAATAGTACTCCCCTCAGAGACCTTCTAGTACCTCATTCCCTACTGTTTCCTTTATTTCTTACTGTTGTCTTCGTTTTCATCCAAAACAATATTATTTTCTTAGGTTCAATCCAAACAAATATAGAATAACCTTGCTGAGTCTGTGGATTTATGTTAAATTAATGAAAGATTGAAGAGCGGTCCATGAATGACACATGATTCCTATCTTCTCTAGTCGAATTGCAATGTAATTATACATGCATGATTTTCTTAATTTACTGATTAAATTGATCAGGGTGACTTATCCCATTGCAGGAAGCTTTTGACTCTAAAGTTGATTCCAGAATCTTTTAGCACCTTTAGAGGTTTAATCTGTTTTCATAATGTAGTTTGTTCATTTTGGCTAAAACAATTTAGTTCTTTTAAAATATATCAAGTTGAAAAGATAAATACTGAATGATCCTTTTTTTTTTTGGTATGTTAAATTCTGTATGAGCTATTACTTTCAGCTCAACAGTTTCACAAATATTGAATGGAGGGCATTGTGCCAGACCCTGCAGGGAGATTTAAGGGCAAATGTCATTTCAGTTTATAGGTATGGTTGAACATGAATAATTTATTTCTCATTTTCGTTTTTGCTATTTTTAATTATTGTTTTTAATATGTTGTGGAGAATAGATATTACTTGTACGTAGAACAAAATTTGAAAGGTATGAAGGGCAAAGGTGAAAAGTAAGACAGCTTTTCTCTCCTCATCCACCAGGTACCCAGTTCACTTCCTTGGAGGTGACTTCCCAGTGTAATCTGTGCGTTTAAACATGTGCGTGTGTGCCTGTGTGTCTTCTTACCTTTGTACGAAATGTATCATACTGTGTATGCTGTTTTTCACCCTGCTTTTTTTCCCCCTTTAACTTAATAATATGTCTTGAAAGTCTTGATGTGTCTGGACACCTAGAGATGCCTCTATCTTTCTAACAACTATAAAATATTTTGTTGCATGACAGTGTTACACTCAAATTAACCACCCTCTCATTGACAGCATTTAGGTTGTTTCCAGTCTTGTGTTATTATAGACAAGGCTGCCATGAGCTCCTTTGGAAATACATTGTTTCCCCCTACACGATTTATTTTACATATGGTGTAATACAGATTCTATCTTTACTCCCTAAAAATAGCCACAAATAAAGAAAACACTGGAGCAACTCAGAATCTCTCTACACTCTTTAAAAATTTCAACTTCTTAGTCTCACTGGAAATAAAGATTTCATTGAATTATTTTTTTTTTATTTTTGAACTCCTGTGAAAGTTTAGCTCAGGTAGTTTGAAATTTTGGAAGCCCCAAACTGAATCAGAGTGTGGACATCTAACAGCAGCTTTGCCAGACAGTGCTTCTCAAACTATCTGTGGTGAAGGACTGGTTCTTCTTTTTCTTTCTTTCTTTTATTATTGTTATTTTTACAATTTCCAATCCATCATAGACTGGGACCACTATGTAGCTCCACCACATGTGATCACATGAGGGAGAGGACATTCAAGCTGGCCTCTACCTTGTTCAGACAAGCAAGCCTGTTGTGTCAATGTTAAAGTTTCTAGCCACTCATTCTTAATTTCTTGTCCCAAACCAGTTACAGTGTATGGATGGACATTTTGTAACACTGTTGTAGGACCCAAGATTCAATTCTTCCCGATCATGATCTGTCTCAGCCTCTAGTAGAAAAGCACTGTTGGTGGAAGGATCTCTTTGTTTGAATGAACAAAGACAGCAGTGAATAAAAAAAAAATCAAATTTTGTTTTCAGTGTCTTTAAATGTATTCTTTCCTGGAAACTTCATCCTCTAAAATTATGTTCAATGGAAAAAGTCACCTTGGCCAAATGTATGTTCATAATGATGATTATTGTCCTCCTAGTCTATCTTTAAACAAACTCAGAATCGTGACTGATGATGGAAAAATATGTTACCTTAACTGAGTTAAATTGCAAGGAACTCCAAGGAGACTCTACTAATAATGGCTTCTTAAAAAATCTTACAGACTCCTGTGAGAAGAGGAAAACTCAGGGATTTGCCTTTCTGTTTTTAAAACCATTTTAAAATTAACTTTTTGAAAAAAAAGAATCAAAATATGCATAAGCAATGGAGCTCTTTATAAATGTGTGCTAACGCCGTTGCCAGAGAGCTCTCAGGGGTGCTGTCACCACAGCAGTGACCCAGCAGGTCCTGGGTTTCTGTGACAAGTAAAAAGACTGTGAGGCACTCAAAAGGCTGACTGTGCAGAATGCTGACCACTTGGCAAACTGGATTCCAGACTTGAGGAGGAAAACAAATAACCTTTTCTATAGCAGGCACCACCAAGATGAAAAAGATTTTCTCCTTTCACGATCATGTAACTTGTATTAGCCTCTTTCGTATCATGAGATGAAGAAAAGGTTAATAAATAAACACAGCTCTGTGTAGTTTTTAACATATGGAGCCTGAGTGAGGTTGTTTTGTTTTTTTTTGTTTTTTTTGTTTTTTGCCACTTGAAGGCCAAAGGCCAAGTTCTCGCAATTTTCTGACTTGTCTGCCTCCACCCCCAGCAGGGAATGACTTTTTTGCCACTTGACTCCCTGCACAAAACTGCTCAGTGGGAGTCCCCTACAGAGAGAGATGAGATGAGAGCTGGAATATTTGTGTCTACAATTATTTTAAACTTCTGAATGTATATACTCTTCTGAAAGGCATTTCTATAAAGGTAATTCTTTTTGTTTTTTAAAAAGGAATTTAAAAACCTTGAATAAAATCCAACACTTAAGAAAAATAGGGAAAATGAGGGTGGGGGAGGGAATTAGACCTTTTTGAGAGGCATAAGTAAATAAAAAATATTTCACTCACAGGATGCCATAGAGATCAAGAAACGTGGGCTTTGTAGAGGAAGTCCTAGGAGTCAAAAATTACTCATCTTCTACTTCACCCAGTGGCCTGGGTGCAGAAAGGCGTGAGCTGGTAGAACTGCCCAGTGCTTGTCCACAGGTGGGCACTGGGACCAGCACGAAGGACTTTTTCGCTCTAGGATCATTCTCTGGTTCTGCTGGAACTAATGAGGCTCTGCTCTGCATTCCTAGCACCTGGACCTGTACCTGGCTCGTAACAGCCACACATGGGTTTTGAAAGAATGGTCATCTGTTTTCTCTTACTATTCAATCAGGCATTTGCCCCAGTGGGTGGAAAGCACACCCATTTTTGGTTTACTGCTTGTCACCATGATGACTCCTGACTCTTTATCTCTACTTGCTCTTTCAGTTGAGTGTTAGTCCCACATCTGCGGCTGCTTACCGCTCATTTCTGTTAGGATATTTTACTATTGCCTGAAACTCACCATTTCTAAAGGAACTCATCTTCAAATTTCCACAGATGTCAAATCACCACGCTGGTTATCCCAGTGCAAAATTTTGGAAATGGGTGAATCTCTGAATCCAACTATTCATTGAATCTCCAGAGAGTCTATCATTTAACGTATTCTCTGAGGTTTCCTTGTTACTTGTAAACTAGTTAATTCTCTGACCTCCTCATTCCAAAATTCTTGCCGCAGCTTCTTCCTTAGCCTTCCCAACCACTGATGCCAAATTTGTCTTCCTAGTGTTGATGCTACAGCATTCACATGCTCAAAATCCATTGTCAACTGTTCCATGCTATTGAATTCACTTTTTCTGCTGGGTTTCAAGATCTTCCACTCATTATTTCCCAAAATATAGACACCTTAGTTTTAGGGCAGACTTACTTCCTTATTGACCTTTGTGATATTGTGATTTATGATAAGAAATACATATTTGATCCTGGATTCCATTCCTAGCACAAAACTCCACTGGTCTCAGAGTGGTTGTATAATACCCCTGCCTCAGAGATCCCAACCCTAACCCTCAGTTAATGTAAGTCAAGCTGCTGTAACAGATTAGATTCCAAATTACGTAATGGCTCAAATACTCTAGAAGTTTATTTCTTCTTCACATGGAAGTCTAAAGGGGCTGTTCCTGGCCAGCAGGTTTCTCTTCTTCATGCAGTGGTTCAGAAATCAAAGTGTCTTTCATCTAGATCCTCAGAGACACCTGTGGTCAGGTAGAAGAATTCAGGGAAAAGAAAGAACAAAGGTTGCCAGCCCCTTCTCCTGGGCTTCTGCCTTGGCTCCTGCCAAGCCTTCTTGGACCTGTGGTCTTGGCTTTGATTATCAGCCTGGTAGCTGGGTCCCTGCTGCCTAAGGACAGACATCCCTGAGGCCGGCTCCTGGTCAGTCTTTACGCTCTGTCCACTACCCAATTTCTAACCATTGTCCTCTGTTCACATTAATGGGACATCTTTCCCCTTGATTAGAGCTATATGATGCCCCCTGCTTTATCACATCTCTGCTGCTCTGCACCCAGATAGCACACAGCTTTCCCGAGAGGACTTCCAGCGCTTGCGGAGGGCCCGCCCTCCTGGAGCCTCACCCGCAGTGGGCAAGGTCAGGTCCTGGTTCTGGACCCTAACAACATGTCCTTAGGTAACAGGGCTGTGCCCCGCTGGGTTCTGAGAAGTGATGTCAGCAGTGGACTTGGCCATCCTAGGACCTAATTAAATTGAACTGTTTAGCGCCAGGGCTTGGCACTTGTTTTAACTTTAAGGGTCACAGGACTGTCATTGCAAGCCCAAGATACAGGCAGAAAGGGGCAGGAAGTCAGAGGAAAAATAAAGAAATGAAGGAAGAGGGAAAGAAAGGGGAGTAATGTGCACACTGGAGGGAGTGCCTTCCTCAGGACCTGTTTGACTAGACACCCCCCTGGCCAACGAGCTGTCATCAGAACGGACGTGCCATAGAAGCATATTTGGAATCTAGGGGCTCTTCAGCAAGCCGAGTGGACGGGTGGAGAGAACATCGGGTTTGACTTCAGACAAACCTGAGTTTGCCTCTCGGCTCTGCTCCTCGTGAGCTAAGTAATCTTGGGCAAGCTACTTGATCTTTCAAGCCTGTTTTCTCAGTTCTAGTGTGGGGATAACACCACCAATTTCTAATGAGACAATGCATGTAAAATACCCAGTGACATGTCTGGCATAAAGCAGGTGCTCAATAGGTGGTGGCTCTGTGCCCCTTTTTCCTTGTCACTGTTCTCTGTCACAGCACCAGGCCAGAGAGTCTTGGTGGCTTTGCAGAACCATTTGCTGCTTTCCCCAGATGGCGACTTGAAGCAGCAGGTTTCTGCAAGCTGCCCAGTGTCCAGGTGTCCCCAGATCAGCCTGTGTGTGGCTGCTACCATTGGCTCAATTGCCGAAAAAAATTTAAAAATTTTTTATTAAAGTATAGTTGATTTATAAGTTAGTTTCAGTTATACACACACACACACACACACATATATTCTTTTCAGATTCTTTTCCATTATATTCCTTTAGGTTTCTTTTCCATTATATGTTATTACAAGAAATTAAATACAGTTCCCTGTGCTGTACAGTAGATCCTTGTTGTTTATCTAGTTTATACACAGTAATGTGTGCCTCTTAATCCCCAACCCCTCATCTATTCCTCCCTCTCCCCCTTTCCCCTTTGGTAACCATAGTTTGTTTTCTATGTCCTTGAGTCTGTTTTTGGTTTGTAAATAGAATTTGAATTACAAATTCTGTTACAAACCAAAATGTCTCTTAAAGGGAGCAGTTGCATACAAACGTGCTCGTCAGATGGGTGGCATATTTATATCCTCGTAGGTAGCCAACTTCCAGGGGCACTGTCATTGGAAATGACAGAATGGAGAAGCAAGCAACCTCTGCCCTCTGCCCTCTCAAACCTAGGGCACCCTCTAGAAATCAGGTGAGCCTTTCCATGAGGAGAAAGTATTGCAAGTGTGGCAGGATGCAGCAGCAGCCTTTTTTCTCATGAACCTGTGTGCACATAAAAATGTCAACGAATATTTACTGGGCTTCTGCTACATGCCAGCCACTGCATGCGGGACACAGTATTGAAGGATGCACGGGCCATTCTCTCCTCTTACAAGGAAACACAGCACAGAACAATGGTCTGTTTATATATTAAAATCTAGAGTCAGGTGAAGAGCTTTCAGACACAGAGTGAAAAATAGGTTGTTATTTATGAATTGGGCACCTTTGTCTTGCTGTTTGCTAACAGAGCATACCTTATGCAAAATTCATTTTCCCACCACAAAACATGTGATCAAAGATCATCAGTCATTTGGTTTCGAGGCAAATGAGCAACTGGCAATTGGCAAGAGCTTGTATGATTCTGGTTTGGAGAGATCTGTGCTGCCCCGGGAGAGCACTGCTGATAGCTGTGCCCGTTACAGGGGACTCCAGCGGACTAGACTTTGAACTTCTGGTCCTTTTGGGGAAAAGGGAAGGAAAGCAATGCTGTCGCTGTCACTAGGAGGGAGCCTTGTCTAATGGTGAAAACACAGATGTGGGATTTAGCTGTCATAAATCCTTCTGCCAATGACCCCAAAGTGGGGCTTACGTCTCCCTCACCCTGCCTCAGTTCCCCCTTCCTGTAAAAGCAGAGAGCAAACCAAGGACTTAAGAGTCAGAAAACATATATTCCAATCCTGGCTCCACTATGTAGACTTGAGAGAAGTTTGATTTTTTGAAAACTCTGTTTCCTTCTTTGTCACTAAATTCTGTCTTTCAGAGTTTGTGGTCCTTGAAATCAAGAAACGAAACTTCTCTCTTCAGCTCCTTGTAGAATAAGCCCCCAAATCCTGCTTGCTGAATAAGTCAATGAACCACAGCACTGAAGTTTGGCTTCATCTATTTCAAGTGCCTTGAGCCCATGGAGCGATACCTGTATGGACCTGCCAATAGTCTTTCAAGGCACCACCTGGGCTCCTTACAGTGATGGGCACGCCAGCAGGGTTTGGTGTTTCCTTCGGAGAATGGACACAGTCATCTCTCATCTATTTCACGTGGATTAGCTTCTCTGAAAGGCCATTTTCCAACATTGCTTCCTTCATCTTGTGGATGCCACCCTACTCCTGGACCCCACCAGGTGAGTGTCTCCAGGTGTGTTTTTTTTACCAAAGGACTGAACCAAATTTGAAACTGACTTTGTCACTGGCCATCTCTGTGACTTTGGATGAGTTACCCAATCTCTGAGAATCTCAGTTTTTCCACTTGCTCTGAGGGGAGGATATTCCTGTGTTACTTCTCTCTCTCCCATCCCATGGCAGGGCAGTAGTGGAAATCAAATGAGATATTTTGTGTGTGTGTGTGTGTGTGTGTGTGAAGAGAGTTGGAAAACCCAGAAGTGACTATAGGAACTGAAAGTGGAATTCTTATAATTGCCACTTACCAGCATCATCAACAGCTTGGAGGGTTGTGTTTGTCTCCCCAGCCATGTCACAGACACTAACCGGTACAACGTAAGGAAATATAAAGAAGCAAAGAATGAAAAATCTTAGAAGTCTCGGTCTAGTACCTCATTGTGTCTAGAGACTGCTTCCCTGTTCCCTGGTGTTATACTGACTTACTTGATCCAGGGTGGCAGAGGCCCCTGTGGACTTGCAAGAAGTCTAAAGTGAATAAATGCCATTTTATATTCACTCATTGGTTTGTTTTTCCATCCCACAAGTACTTATTAAACACCAACTATATAGAAAGATGACTCAAACATGGATCTGCTCTTGCAATTCTTTCAAAATGGTTAGAGAAATAGGGCTCTTAGCTTAAAACCAATAACACAAAGTAGGAGACGCTAGGCATTACTCTCATGAGAGGGAGCTAGTTCAGTGCTGTGGCTGCACTGAGTAAGGGGAGAGGATTTATCACCAAGGGGCAGGAAGGCTTATTGGAAGAAACAGTTTCTAACTGAGTCTTGGAGAGCTGGGAGAATCTGAGCTTAGAGAATGGGGTGAGGGACGGAGGACGTGCAGGCAGAGGGATGAGTTGGGTTAGACAGACACAGTCTCAATGGCGGGCTTCTCCTGTGACTTTGAAGTTCCCTTGACCCCGAGCATGGGTTATGCTTCTCATTTGAAGATGACTTTTTTCATCTTTGTGTTTGTTTTCAATTTTTTCCTTTGATCGTCTTTAAGTTTCTAAAAATAATCAACTGTCTCACCATGTAGTAGATCTGAGCACTGGAGACTCAGGGCCCCTACCGGCAAAACCTTGGCTCCATATTATGTGAGAAATTCATCAGAACTTCTCCTTCTGGAATGTGAGGTTCACTTCAAAGCCCTCTTCTGTTGACCAGACCCTGGGAGGTACCATGCTCAGTCATCACTTCTCAGTTGTTGGGCTCCCCTCTACCTTGCTGTGAGATCAAAGGAAAAGGCGGTTCCATCCAGTGGGGTTCATTGCTTATCGCTAGCTGATGTGAGCAGAAATTAATTTAAGGAGTTCAAGAAACTGTCAATCCAGAGTATAGGAAGAATCCTCAGCTTGTCTGAGGCATCAGAACCAGGCAGAAAACCCAGCATAGTCCACCATAGCTTTCCAGACGATCAAACTTTGATGTAGTGTGAATGCTTGAGAGACTCTCATTTACATGATTCATTGCACTGGAAGCCAGGACCAGCCCCTTGAGTTTGATGTGCACGCACAGTATAACCCTTCCCTCCAATCACATTCAAGCAGCAAAATATGTAGAACAGGAATTCCTTGAGTTTTACCCGAATTTGTTGGTTTATAAAGTTGGGCTACCTAAGGCTACAAGATGACGACGATCTTTAGATTTGGGGATTTTTGTGAACTGGGAAATGAAAAAGATTAGGTTCAACACAGAGTTGTTTACTTTTTATTTTGCCAAATTCAGGACATTCGACTCAAAGGACCTTAAAGGCCGAAAAAAAAAAAAAACAAGATTGTCATCTTTTTAAAAAGAAAAAGAAGTTTTACGCCAGATGCTGGGAAGGCCGTCATCCCAGAGTAAAGAATGGCCCTTGTCTGGGGAGCTCGGTTGGTAGTCTTCCACCTGCGCTTCTGCTCTAAAATGTTTTAAATAGTTGCGTGGCGAGTCCGGGCCGTGGGACTGGCCTTGGGGACCCCGTGCGTGTGTTAGACGAGGACGGACTTGGCTGGTCTGTTTGGGAATAGACGGAGGGCCTCCTCGGGGGCGCGGACGGCTTCCTGTGCCGTCGCATCCGTCCCCGCCACGTGCATTTGGTGCTGGCATCATATTTCCTGGCATTTGGTGAGGGGATGATGTGTCCAATTCTCTTTCATTCTGACTCATTGGTGGGAAGGGAAATTTAATTCTCTGGAACCCTTATTTGTATTAGTGTTAAATCATCTGTCTGCTGTTTAATGATTTATGCACGCAGTGCAAAGAGGTCCCAGAATTGCTTTTCCGATCGTTCCACTCCCCACCCCTCCCTCATTCCACTCCAGGCTGGAGAAATAATTCAGTTTTGTACCTTAGGGAGTCCACCCGAGATGCTCTTCCTTCGCTTACGCGTCCCCGATATGCTCTATCGGCGCTGGGCTTTCAGATGAGTAGAAGGACTTCTCGGGGATGCTCAGGGGGGTCTTACGTGGTACTTCGTGCTATTAACGCGCTGAACCGCTTTGCCGCCTTAACGCCGCAATCGGTCTCCTCCCAAACCCGACGCGCCCATTTTGGACTGTAAATGGTGATCTTCTGATTTATTCTCCTCGAGCTCATATGCTTAATGTGGATGGGGCTTTGGTGCTCGTTAACACAGAGACTTTTATTGCGAGGGCTGCTCTGTCTGCTGTGCGGAGGGAACCTCACACATTGCACCTCTCTCCACTGGCCATCTATAATTCAGCGCGGTGCTCCCATTCACGTCATGCTTCAGCCTTTGCAGTGCCTATGAGTAATTGACAGCGTCCACTCGTGGCAGTAAATCAGACAGGCCCCGCCCGGAAAGTTACGGTCAGCTCCACTGTCTACCAAGGAGGAAGGCTGAAAACCAGTGACTGCCATTAACTGGGAGTTTTCAGATCATAAAGTCAGAGAAAGTACATTTGTTGGCCTTTATTATTAATACATTTTGAGTGGCTCTTTAAAATAGGTATCTCTGATTGGATAAGGAGTTATGAAAAAAAAATGGTTCCCTGGTATATATACCTTAATAATTATTGCAGTTCATTTCAAAGGAATGGCTTACTTTGACAAAGTGAGTGACCTTGAGTTGTAATGTATGTAATAGGCTAGATGATATAGGAGGCTTGAGGGTGTGTGATGTGGTACGTATGCCACGGAGCCAGAGAAATGAGGATTTATTTTCCTGAAATGCAAATCCAGAACAGGGCGGCTCAGGATACAGCACTCAGAGTTGCACTGTGCGAAGTACAACAGCGGGTCTGGAACGCTCTTATAAAGAGTACGTTGCCTGGGGATAGTTCTGTGTGAGACATGCCTTAGATTTCCATTGTTGATCACGGGTAACCCACATTAGCTCAAAACCGGGCATCGTCTCGCGGTGATAATTCTTCCTGATGTTAGGGGAGAAATTCAGAGGAAAATGCTCACAGCGCCTCTGAGGAAAAAACACCCTTTGGTGCTTGAAAACTCCAGTATTGTGAAATACAGATCTTTATGAGGCAGGGTTGGATGGGATTAAAATGCATGAACTCTAGAGGCAGGTCGACCTCTGGATTTTATTTTCCAGCACTGCCATTCATGCACCAGTTACGTGACAAGTTACTCTCTCAGAACATTGTTTACTTGTCTCTAAAATGGGGAGGAAATTCTTGCCTCCTAAGGAATTTTGAAGAGTAGAAGATTTGATACACACAAAAACACCTGGATAAGTGCTAAATAATTTTAATTTTTCCTCTCCTGCACTTCGGGAGAGCAAGTGAAGTCATCAGCCAGCTTTTAGGTCTCTAGACTCAGACATCTCTTGGCATCCTTGGAGAGCAGTGTGTTGATCACAGGTTAAAGATAGAATCTCGTACTCTGTACCAAGAATGAATGCTGGGCAATTTAATTAGCACCATGGCTAATAAGGCTATCTGTTTTATACCAACCTGAAGTGAAATGATTTGTATCTGAGTACAAATAAAATAATTTCCACCAGTAAATTTGATATTTCATAGCTTGCTTTTCAGGTCAGAGGGTTTTTTATGTTTGTTTGTTTGCTTTGTTTTTTTGTATTGATGTATAAAATTCAGGCAGGGAACCCTCCTTGAGCTAATACTGCCTGTCTTTTGCAATAAAAACATAAATACAAATCTTCACTTGGGAGTGCATAAATGGGAATTCAGGTGTGTAGTGCTCATCTGCAATAGGGGACTATGGCTTTCTGAGCACTTTTTACGAGGTAAGAGCAGGAAGCTTTGGCTCCGTTGTTATAAACTTTTGCTTCAGTCAGATTTTACCCTTCACTCTCTGCTCTAAGAAACTGCTATGGTCTGAATGTTTGTTTTCTCTGAAGTTCATGTGTTGAGATCCTAACTGCCAAAGGTGATGGTATTTGGAGGTGGGTTTGGAAGGTGATTAGGTCATGATGG